AGGGAAGGGGAGGGGAGGGAAGGGGAGGGAAGGGAAGGGAAGGGAAGGGAAGGGAAGGGAAGGGAAGGGAAGGGAAGGGAAGGGAAGGGAAGGGAAGCCGGCAGCCACAGCGGGTCCCCCGGCACGGCGATCGAAGGCGGTACCGGGCGGTGGGAGGGGCGGGGCGGCGGCACCTGGAGCGGGAGAGCCGGGGCCGGGCAGCCTCGCCCGGGGCCAGCCAGGGAGCGAGGTAAGCGGCTGCGGGGGCAGCTCCGGGGCTCTGCGTCCCGGAGAGGCTGGGCAGGGCCGGGGGCTGCAGCGGGCAGCGCTGGCGGCAGGGTCCAGCGGACAGGTGGCTGCCGCTCCCAGAGGCTGCGGCTCGTTTAGAATGATGGAACGGTAACGGCCGGGCTGCGGGCACGTCCGGGCTGTACTCGGCTTGTGCTCGCTGCGAGGTGAATAACCGCCCAGAGCCTGGGGTCAGCCCTGCCGCACGAACCGCGCCTCACAGCTCGATCGCCCCGCAGGTCACATCCGAGCTGCCTCTGCCTTCAGCTGGAAGGTCCCATGGGAGAGCCAGCTACACCTCCCGGAGGTGTTTAGCCAGTGTGTCACCCTTCCTTCTGAGGTGTGGCACCAGCCTGGCTGGGATCGCAGCCTAGAGCGTGGCATTTCTCTTCGGTGGAGGTTGCGTGTTGGTGTCTGCTAGTTAGTGAATGGATGTGGCACTGTATTGTCCAAGTAGTAGGCAATGAGTTTTTTGTATTACAATAGGTAACGGGAAATTGTATTAAATAGGTGGGGAAAATCTCGGGCTTCAATATTCGTGTTCTTTCTGGTCCTTCCCTCTGTCACTCCCTGAAAACACACAGACTTACTATTTAACCTACAAAGGCTAAAACGTTTCTATGCAAAACACTTAATGTACATCTAAAATCCAAATCTTCATGTCCTGGATTTTATTGGTAAGCCGCTGTCATTAGTAATGCTCTGTTAGTAAAGCAAACCTGCAAGCAGTGGCACTGCACGGGAGCTGTGCTGACTTCTGCTTCCCCTGTCTGTCACCACTGTGTCCTGTGCCAGCCCTGCGACCCGCGGCAGCCTGATCCTGCTCCGCGTGGCAGAAGCAGCCGGTCCGTGGCTCCAGAGCCACGTTCAAGGTGCGATAATTTGTGGGGTGATGGTCCCTGCCCGTACGACACAGCCCTGGTGCGGGATGAGGGAGCAGCAGGCTGCAGGTGATAAAGGAGCGCAGTTCAAACGGCACTTCTGCTGGGCTGGTATGGCAATACCCCACCCAAAGCAATTAATCTCTGACTTTTTAGAGGTGGTTTCTTTTAGTTATGGGTTTATCTTTTGGTGCTTTTTGTTTTGTTCGTTGTTTTTTCCCTCAAAGTATGTTTGTCAGAAGGAATTTTACCCTGGAAAGTGATAAAGTGCTGTATAGGCAGATATAAGAGGAACTGGAACTTTACAGTGCTGTCCTCTTCACATATTGATGAAGAAGTCTCTCTCTAATTGCCACTTGTATAGTCCATAGATTGTGTATGTTCATTGCAGAATACACCCTTAACATGCTAGTAGGCTACATTGGATTTTAATGGAGCTGTATTTTGTCTGGAAAATTAAAAGTATTCAGTTTATGTGAAATTACTTGTCATAAAATTTGAAAACTGCATATAAGGATTTTGACAAAACCTGTTATCTTCTTTTGACTGGTTCCCCCTATAAATGTTCTAGTTTCTGGGTATTCCCAATATTCTGACAGATAAACTTTGTTTTCCCTCAGGGTCCTGTTAAATGCTGCTTGTGCAAATAGTAACAGGACAACAATATTCATAACAGGAAGTTTAGCCAGAAATTACAAACAGAACAATGTCCTTTTTCAGCCCAAGATTCTTGAGTGTATGGAAACCCCTGTTTATTATCCAAAGTGATAATATGTGTAGTCTTCATAAGCTTTTCTACTTGAACTGGTGAATGATACTCCTGTAACAGATACTGCTTGTTAAAGTACAATTTGCAGGTTACAAGTGGAGAGGTATCCATAGCAGGTGCAGAATAAAAAGAGCTTTCTTTTATGGCTTTCTTTCAGTCAGAGCTGTTCTAGTAAGCAGTATCTTCTAATAGACCTGGTGTTGCTGGCTGCCTTTCCACTGAAAGCAGAAAATTAATTCTAAATTCTAACCAGGTACTCACTTCCTTCTGGGTTTTTTTTGTAAGCAGTTATTTCCTTCAAATGCAAGTAGCTGGTAATGTTGGTTAATAGACTTTAAAAACTTGTTTTGCAAAGTAAGATTTAGTCCTGCTAAATGCAGAGAATGTGACAGTCTGCAATTTGGAAATTTAGTCACAAGACTGACTTGCACTGATTTGAAATGATTCTTGCTTCAGCCTTTTCTTCCCCATAATGGTCACAGGATGAGCTAGGTTTTTGATGGTTAAAGAAATAATGTAGCATTCTGTTTCTTATTCTCTAACCCTGCCTCTCTATGCCAGGTATACTGTTCTTGCTCTTCAGCTCTCTCTATTTTCATAGTTATATATCTTAGTGCTTATGATTTTCCCAATGAACTAAGTTTGCCCTTGTTGTCAGAGTTAGGAGAATAAAAGCAACAAAGCAGGAAACACGGAGAGTTGCTCTCAAAGGAGCTTTCAGGTAAAGGATTAAATCATTCAAAGTCATTGTCATGAGTGCTTCAGTCCACAGGAATTGTATCTGTGGGGCCTTTTGGGTGGAGAATCAGGGATCTGTGTGGTAGATTAGGGAGAGTACTATGAATTTCACAGAATTAATGAAGTATCTGAAATTTTACCCACTCCCTTTATGCAAAAACTGTATGTGCCTCCACTTAATAACACTTTACTGGACGCTAAAATTTAACTACATATTGTAACAATTTTCTAGGTGTTTCTGGGACAATTTTATAATGCAGGTTTCTAAACTCAGGTGAAGAAGTAGGAACCTCTGAGACACTGCATACACAAAGTAGCTGGCAGTCCTTTCCCAAAAACCTTACATAAGCAACCACAGGTGATATGAAGGATTTAACTTGCAAAGAAAGTGAACACAATGAAAATACTGTATTCTTACTATATTGTGAGGGATTTACAAGAGGAATGTGAAATGGAAGGGATAAGGCAAAAAAGTGACTAGGTGCAGAAAAATGGATAAAGAGTAAATAAGGAACAGAGCTCATGATACTGAAGAACAGCTGGAGGCAAACAGACACTTTGCTGCTTCCTTCTGCCTGGCTGCATTCTGTACCCAACTCTTACAGGACAAGTGAGGGATAGGCAGAGTGGGATCTGGATTCTGGTGGGTGCCATTGCACTATAAGAGTAGAAAGTAAATCCATTTGGGGTCCAGACCCAACACGCTGTTGGGAGAGACAGCAGCATGGTGGCTGTGAGGGGGATGCTGGCACTCTCTCTTCCCATTTGTTTGTCTCTCCTTATGCGATAGTAAGTGAGTCTTTAGTGCTGCTGCATGTCATCTGTCACTGGGAAGATCTCATTTAGCAGAGGCACAATTTAGATTGCTTAAATTGAATTCAAGGAGTAAAATAGCAGAGTTGATGTTGATTGCTGTAATGGACCCTGCTGATCTCAATAAAACTACAAAGGGAGGCCTGTAGGAGGTGGTGCTTGCTGGTGCTGGTTGGGTACTTTGGCAAGATGCAGTAAAGATAAGTGGCCTTTGCTTCCGTGTATGATTCATGCTGGTTCCATTGCTAATACATCATTTAGAGATGAGGTTTTCTCCAGTGTAGTGTTTGATTAGTGTCAATACACAGCTCTTTACATTTTCTGAGAGGCTTTCCTGGTCTTTTGCAAAAGTGTTGAAACTGTTTGGACTGAGACATTGGAAGAGTAGTGATCAGTACTGGAATCCAGCTGCTGATGCAGAATGTAAAACTCTGGCTTGTCTCTCAAACTCACTTTTGGCTTCCAGAAATCAGTCTGGTTCTTTATCATCCTGAAGACGTGTGGAACATGTGGAACAGGACAGGCATTCATGAATAAAACTTGAGTAACGGTGAAGCCCTGTGTAGTAATACCCTATAAAACTAAACTATCTTTATGGAAATAGAGCACATTCAGCCTTCTGAATCACTTCTTCCATGAGTTCTATTCCCTTCATTCAACATTATTAAGTTATCTATGATGTAGTTCTGGAGTTCCCGGTTTTTATTCCACTTCAAGATGTGTGCAAATAGGATTTGCTTAATGAAATCTTTTTTTTACTAAGGGATTGCAGCTAAAGAGCTTGAAGGTCCAAGTGGCTTTCCTGAAACTTGACGCCAGGACAAAGTGCTATTTTGGCAAGACATTAATGTTTGTGTCATTCTATTCTACATGAGGGTTAGTGTCTATAGCAGAACATTACCTGCACAGGAAGAAATGAAACTAATCTGGAATATTTTGTCAAGGCTGTTGATCTGTGACTTGAAAGTAGTTATTTTTCTGGGAGATGATTCAGAAGTATGAGTCTGCACTGATTGGAGTTTCCTGGTTATATCATTACAGGGTTGAACGATTTAAGTGGAAAGCACCTGCCCTCCACAGATCTTCTAACTTATTTATGTATCAATGATCATTAAACCCACTGATCCTAAACACTTCTCCTAAACACTTATCCTAAACACTCCAGAGAAGGTGCACAGGATTTGTTTGTTTCAGCAAAATAAGTTTCTTGCTGAAATCCAAAAACATAACCCACAAGTGGATGCCACTCTGCAATGGGAAGATTTGTCAAGATCCCACTTTCTGCCTTTTACAAATAACCTCTGTCCTCCAGCTACTTTTTTTTTCCTTCTAAATACTTTTTAAAGGGAAGACTAAGTCTAAATATCCTATGTTTTCCTGGAACTATGGTTTGCTGCATTCCATCATAGGGTGAAAGGAAGAAAGAGATGGTTTAGTTTGAGCATTACCTGCTTTGGGTTCTTTCCAGTGAGCTATGACTGGTCAGAAATGTATAAACTGCCGGATTTGAATTTGCCTCAGCATATGTTGAAAATTTACTTCAAGTCATTAAAACTTTGTGAGTGGAGAAAAAACTGTATTTTCAGATGCTGGGCTCAGTGTTAGACTGTAAATGTCTCTGTGGATTTTCATTGTGATCCTGGCATGCAATGCATCATAAGACTCAAAGAAAATAAAGTGGATAATGACAGAGCCAACAGAGAATCTGTATGTTGGGCTTTTTTGAGTTTCTGGGGAAGCCTTTATGGATAAAGCTCGAGGTCTCTCAAATGAGTAAGAGAACGAAATGCTGGGTAGATTTTCCAGCCAGGCTGATCTGTTTCTTCTGGTTGGTTGATGTCAGCAAGTTGGTTGATATGGATGGTTGATGTTTTCTGCCAGTTTGCTTCTGGGTAATGCTGAGGCTGCACAACCCATACACTTCCATCAAAATGTCTGTGCTCTCTACAGCTCCAGTGAAGACCAGGCAAGTTGGCAAACTGTTTAAATCAGTGCTCAGCTTTCCAGCTGCCTTGCTGGCAACCTTCCCAGCTTTTTGCATAGCTGAGTTCAAGAGAGTTGGATTCCTGGGAAACCAGTTCAAAAAAATAGAAAAATGTAATTTTGCACACTCTTCAAAGAGAATTGTCTCAGAATTTTCTTCCCCTGAGAAAGTAATACTTCCATCTTCAGCTTTTCATTGCAGTTTGAAATATAAACCACATCTATAGGGGACGTTTCGTTTTCCAAGCAAGTCTTTGCAGAAGACCACAATAATATTTTTCAAGATCATTTCCATGCTTTTTAATAGAATATAGGGACAGAATGTACTAATTCCTGAAGGGTTTGTGCAGAAGTTCAGATATGTTCTGAGCTAGTTCTCAAAAGATCACCAAGAGCTAAGTGGTTCCTGTCAAAGGAAATCTACCTCTACAGGAGATTTAAGCTTCTCATGACTTTTAAGTAAGAGCCTTGGATTTCTTTTAAGTAAGCCTTGGATTCATGGGGCATTTATTAAGTTTTTTTGGAGATGAGGAAAGAGGGCTCTGCTAACTACTCTTGTGCTTTCATGAGAATCTCATTCTGTCTCTGTAGGTATGAAACTGTCACCTGAAAACCCACAAGCGTCACTTAGGAGAGACCATTTTATGGTTTCTTTTTGGCAGCGATCACACCCCGTTGTTTGCAGAAGCAGGAGTGTGCACTTGTGTTCCCATTGTCCAGTGTGCTTTTACTGGATGTGCTGGGTATTGGGCCTCAGAGCGCCCTTCCTCATGCTGTAATCAAAGTGTAGTCAGTGGTCTGATTAAAATGTAGGACTTTGAATTCATCAATCCCTCATGTTTATACACACAACTCTGCAAGTCAGAGTGCAAAACCTGGGCATTGTTTTACAACTACATCACACTGCAAGATTTTAGACTGTGTTCCAAGCTCTTAAGGCATGTAAATGACACAATAGTAATTTAAGTGCTTCTTTTGCAGAATAAGATTTTGAAAAGCCCTCAGAGACTAGACACTGTATAATTATCCATTTTGAAGATACTTTTCATATAATACTTCCTTTGCTGCAGTAAAAATGCCAAATAAAATCCACAGCAAATGGTAAAGTTTGTTGAGACTCTACTGTTAAGTGAGATTCAGCTCTGCTTTTCTAGGAATGGAGCTGAAATAAAAATAGGGTCCACTGGCTATTACCAGCTATGCCCTTTATAGTTTATTTTTCCCTTTCCTGCTGTGGAATAGCTTTCCAGCTTAGGAAACTTGCATGGTGCCTTTAAGAAGAAATGCTAAAAATAGTTTGCTTTTTTATTTTGAGTACCATTTTTGATTAATTGCAAGAACTGCCTGCTTAGTTTGGATTCTCTTTTTCTAATGTAACATTCCCTTTTTACTTGCTCATGAGGACTCCCATTCAATAAATTCTGACTAAGTCTGGCTTGTTTAAGATTAAAATGGAGCACTATGTGAGAAATCTAAAACCAGGCCTATTTAAAGGATTGAGGCATTAAACCTTTAGAAGAGCCCTCATTAAGAATGAGTCTTTAGATATTGTCAGCTCTGTACAAAGGCATGGTCCTGCAGCCCCTTATTCACAACTAAGGCTTAGAGATGCACTGCTAGCAAGGAGCAGAGCAGGTTTCACCTTCTCTTTCATTTTGGAAATGTAGGTAAATTTTTGGGGAAAATTTGTGCATTTGGCTTTTGCTGTTTAAGGAGGAGAGAGAGAACTTTATTTTTTCTTAGTGTTTTGACATGCTTCTAAAGCCTGGCCTCATTAGTGTTGGGAAAATGAATGTGGCACTGCAGTTCTGTAGGTTTGGAGAGACCTAACTATAGAGAAATGTGAGTTCCTGTTTGACCTGCAATTTCTGGTGGACCCCAATTTCCTGATGGTGAGGTGATGAAGTTACAACCACTGCTGATTTATACTGTTTCATGTTATTTGTTAGTAGAATAGCAGAATCTACTAAGTTGGTAAAATGGAGTTCCTTCCTTTTAATTTTATGCATCTGTATCTGTTTTGTAATCAGGTCTGTAATGGGTCTTCCTTTTAACATATTAATGAAGCAGTAGTGACAAAAATAAGGAAGGTTTCATCCTTCAAACCAAGGACTTGTCATGTCTTATCATTACAATGAAGCCTTTGAAAATCCAGACTATCACTTCTCAGAGACATTGGAAATTGATAGAAGGTGAGTTTATTTAATTTTACTCTGTGACTGTGCCATAAGAAATACTCATTTAGATGTAGAAGGTACTTCTTCTGTGAGGTTTTAATTTGTGGATTTATTTTAATCCCTCCTTTATGCTTTCATTCTCAGACAATTTTTTAAAACTGTTACCAGGAAGGCAGCAATCAAAGGAGATGGTTTGCTTTTTACATGTTGGATAGTTTTTAGTTAAATGTATTTATGACATAATATTGTACATATTTTTTAGTTCGAGTAATTTTCACAATGGGATATAACCTTAGATATTCTTGTTTTCCAAGCAGGTATTCCTGTTTAGTTAGAGTCTAAGATAACTTCAGGTGGAGAAAATGTTAGCCTTCTTATTTCAATTTATGATCAAATCAGAATTATGTTGTTGAAGTTCTAAATACAAAATATCTTTAATGTACTTAAATTTGATGATAATAGGTAGCAGATTATTCAGGATACCTATTGAGGGTTTTTATGACAGTCAGGATTTTCTTTTTTGTTGCTTACACAGGGGGAGTTCTCAAAGGAATCGATTCTCTCACCAAACCCCTTATGATTCATCTCTGCATGGTTCCTCTGGAGAACACAGAGGCAGGGAGCAGAACTACCCTGTTGCCATCCCAATGGCTTCCCTGGGACCTGGCTCTGACTACAGCCAGGATTTACCCAGAACAGGTCCATATGGAAATTTCACAGGTATGGAATTTCTCATGTGACCAGCTTAGAGAATCCCTGGAACAAATAACAGTTGGCTCTGTCCCAAGGGAGTCCTGCTGCTCTGCAAAGCTCAACTCTAAATATTTTTAGCTTTTTGGTTTTTTAAGCAGTTAATGTGTTTTATTAGCAAATCCATGGATTGTTGTATGAGCAGATTAATAAATATGCCTTATATGGACTGAGTAAGTTGTTGAGTACTAGGATGTACATTGGAGTGGAATATGGGAGTTTTGTTGAGGAATAAGTTGCTGTGCTGGCACTAGACCTGTATTTTGTCATAGGCTTGGCAGTCTGTGTCCATAAATAACCCATAGCAGTTTGCAACTTTGTGTAACTCTCATCTGCTTCAACAGATGAGCCTGAGCCAGAAGAGACTTACACCCCTTATTCTACCTTCCATATGCTGGATTATCCCTACATTCATGGAATTTCCAGTGGATCAGAAGGTAAGGATTGCATGTCAACCTCACCCTCCATAAAATAATACTGATAAATATTTTAAAGCCTTGGTCAGGCATGGATATCTTCACATAATAAAAGGGGTCATAAACAGGGTCCTTCCACATCAGAGAGCTGAGCTCCACACTGGGATGTGACACTGGGACTGGCCATTATCTTGCTGGGAAGGTCAGGCAAGGAAAGCTGTGCCTAAACTCATCTGTGTCATGGCTGGAAGGCAGATGCTTCTAAGGAGTGTAGTCACCTGTTTGAAAAAGTGGATGAAAGGAGGTGGAGAGAGCAGCTGAACTTTGGCCCCACGGAAATGGGATTTTGGCACATATAACTTACCCAGCATGATGGAGTGTGATTCTAAAATGATCCCCCTGAAGGCTGGGGAAGGATTTTTAAAGAAAGGCCTTGTCTTCTAGGAATAAAGTCTTGAATAATTAATGTGTGCATTTGTGAATGGGTTAGATGGAGTGCTCCATGACAGTTGAAGACTGGGCTCAGTTCCTCTTTTCCAGCATTTATCTGAAAAAGTGCTTGTGCTTGTCAAAGACGACCAGGAAAGGAGTGGGGGAGTGTGTTTGCATGAAATTGGTGAGATTGAAGTGCAGACTTTTAACTTGTTCTTGTGAAAGTGAAATTTGAATTTCAGAAGTCAAATTGTCAGGACATGTATGTTATTCAGACAGCTTCATTCGGAGACGCAACCGAAGACCGCCTGATGAGATCTTCAGCACTTCTTCCAGCATGTTTGAAACAGATCCTGTGTGCAATGAAGGTAGGGGTTTAGATAAGGGGTTCAATATTTGACAGTGTCTTGTACAAGGATGGTGTGTGGATGCTGCTCTGTTTCTCACCAGAACTGCATTACAGCCCTTATGTGGTTATGGCGACAATTTAGATTTGTGTTATGGTACTGATTAATCTTTTATGCTCTCCTAACACACTCAAATCCCATGATAAATGAAATGCAGTGCAGTATGAAGGTGTTAAATTGTAGAAAGAAATGCTAAGCTCTTTATTAGGATTTGTTTGACCAGCTAATAGATTGCTTTCAGCTACTGTGTCTGGAATTAGCATCAAATTCCAACTGTGCAGAAGCTGCCTGATTGTCAGGTCAGAGAGGTGTGTCTGTGGCATAGGTAGTGCTAAGTGTGGGCACTAACATCAACTAAAATTACAGAAGAAATAAAGCAAAAGTTTAGCTTTCAAGTCAATAAGTAGCATCATAGAAGTGTCACTATCAAACAGTGATCAAGCAATGGACCAGAACCTTGGAGTTTTGTCAGTAGTTTATTTTCCTGTATATTGCAGTTCTTTCTGTGAACATTACTGGACTACTTACTTGCATCTCAGAGTTCTGTAGGAGCTGGAGATATTCTGGGCAATATTATTAAGTCTCAAGCTTGCACACCTTGGTAGCAGTGTAAATGGGGGATGTTGTTATAGCCACTTCTGGTTGTGTATAAAAATTACTGTATTCTTATCCCAAAATTTTGTTTTTTGCATGGGTTTGATGCAGAGGAAGATTTAGTTGGAAGTCTTGCAAGTATGTCCACCAATGAAAGGATTAAAGCAATCCAGAAGATGCCAGAGACCATGAGAAAAAAAAGAGAGATCAGGTAAAAAAAAAAGTTTATCTGTTTGGTTTTAAAAACATTGACTTCTAGCAACATCTAGCTATCAATTATGGGGGTTTGCCATTTGGTGAGCTGTGGTTTGCCACTTTATGACAAAGTACTTTTTAATGCACTTTTAAAGAGTTAAGGTCTTGCAAGAGAAAATAATTTAACAATAGAGATAAGAAGAATATCTAATGATAATATAAATCAGAATATCAAGGTCCTGAGATTTAGTTATAAATTATGACCTGAGATTTAAGATTTATTTTCGAAGGAAACTTGGATGTTGGCCATTGCAAATGGAGAAGAGACCACATAATCTCAACCATCCTTTTGTCTCCTCACAAAATGTATTTAAATTCTGCTGCCAGTGTGAGTTAGTGGAGGGGTTAGAACATGCTGTCACAGCAGGGACAGGAGCCAAGATATCAGCTAATATAAAATGAACCAGTAAGAACATCTCCATGTTGTACTAATTCTCTTCATGTGCACAGGGGTGAAACTATATTTGCAGCATCTTCTAGGACTTCTTGATTCAATTACAACTCATACTATAATGCTTGTCACCCCTGCCCTGCTCTTCCACAGAAACAAAGTTCTTAAAGAAATAACAAAAAAATCAAAGCATCGTGGTGCTCAAAGTACACAGTGTCTGCAGGGAGCAGCAGTGGTAAGTGCCAGAAGCTTCTGTCAGTCACAACAGAGCAAACCACTCTAGCTGCAATGCTACCACTGTCTCCAGAGGAATTTGGTGTCTTGCCTCATGTCATTAAAGATCCAGTTAATTGCTGCAGTGTTCATTAATAATGACTTGTGCTGCAGGAGCCCTTAGGAACACCAGTTCACCACCTTATGGTGCATGGAGTGGGGCAAATCCGTTGTTAACACTGAAATGAAGTGGTAACATTAAAATGTGAAGCTTTATTATGTGAAATTGAGTCCTGTTTGCTTGCTGAGATTCATCTCTGTCCTCTTTTCCCCTTCAGTCATTTCGGCGGTTTGGAAATACCCTTTCAGAATGTTTCCACCAACTGCGGCTATGGCACAAGACTCTGAAGATCATTGGTGCTGAGTTTGGAACAAGTGTGCTTTCTTATTTTGTTTTCTTGAAGTGGCTGCTAAATTTGAACATCTTCTCATTCCTCATAAACTTTGGTTTCATCACAATTCCTCAGTTTCTTGCAGCAGAACCAAATAACCTTTCATTCACGGGCCTGGAGGTGTTCACTGGAGCTGTAAGTATTTAAATTTAATCACATCTGTGATTTCATGTTAAGGAATAGGACAGCTCCCACCTCCAATAACTGGTCTTCAGATGATGATGCTTTCCACCATGGAGTTGACAGCAAATATTCTGAATGATGTTCTTGTCTTTTCAGGGTTATTTTCAACAAACAGTGCTCTACTATGGCTTTTACACCAATGCTACAATCAGTAAAGTGGAGAATGGTCCATCTTACAACATGCAGCTGGCCTATATTTTCACTGTTGGAATATATTTTGTCATCTGTTTTCTTATCTTGTTGTTCAGGTAAACTGATTGTGAATTCCTATGTCTCTTATGTTAAGTGGAAAATAGCCACACAATAAAAAAACCCCATCCTGTCAACAGTTAGAAGTAATAATTACTTGAGTATGTTTCCAATAAGTCCTATTTACAGCTGTGGAGTTTAAGTAGAAATTTCTGCTCAAAAGATAGTCTCCAGGAATCAAACCTTTATTACAGAAATTAAAAGTAACTGCAAAATAGTGAAGGACATACAGAGAATCCCACTTCAAACTGGGAATATTGTAATCCTCTTGCAAGATGCTGCTCCTAACATTGTTTCTTATTGATGTGGCCTTCCAGAGGTAAAGATTGTCAGCAACAATCCTGAGATGGAAATGCTAGAGTTTCTTACATAAAGTTTATTTTCTACATTGTTGTATGTGACATGCTCTGACATAGGTCCAATAAATGTATGATGGGATGGAAAAGCTGACAAATCTCCCTCCTTGCCCTGCTGTACAGACTTGATTAATTTCCCTGTCACACATCTGACCAATTTAATTTTCATTGCAGCATGGCAAAATTCTTCTCCAGAAACATTAACTCTCAGACATTCTCTGTGAATGCCAGCAAGCTGCTCTGCACTTGGGACTTCAATATAACTAATGAAAAAGCTGTGAAACTGCAACAAAAGAATCTCCACACACAAATAAAGGTACAAACCACAAGAAGTACAAAACTTATGTGCATGAGTCATTCTGTTGGGGACTTAGTTGTGCATACAAATTTGTGTGTCTACAGACAAGTCTCTGGCAGAGTGATACAAGAGAGCTAGTCCTGTGCCTAAGAGATTTAAATCTTCCTGACTTCCTGAGTTTTATTTGTTCTGGGCTCCTGGCATTGGCTTAGCAGCTTGTTTTTCTTTTCTTATGAAGCTACATATAAATATTTGTGTGCTTCTGTTCTATGGAATGAGTCTCTGTGACTATTAAATATTTGCCATACGGAGTATTTATTCAGGTTTTTCTCCTTCCTGCTATTTAAATATTTTATAAACAAAAGGCAGGCTGGAAATATTGTGTGTGAAACTTCACTTCTAGGATATGAACACAAAGTTGCTTAGTGAATGTTCCTAGGATACTCTGCCATCTTCTAGAAAAATAATCTTTCATTCAGCTTCTCTGGTAGTACCTTGAAACAAGTTTTGCCTTATGCTGTTGACTAAGAACTTCTTCATCAGGAATTGTTTCTTTGCAGGAAAGTCTCACTGAAGTCAACAAAGAAGTTCAAAATTTTTCTGTGATGGAGAGGGTTGCTCGTATTGCTACTCATCTTCTTGCTTGGCTTGCTTCCCTGGGCACAGCAGTAGCTGCTTGTGCTGCTGTTTACTTCCTCTCCATTAATAACCTTAAGGTAAGGCCAGAATTTGCATTTTTCTACACAGAAATTTCACACTGAGTGTGAGGACTGGTTTGCTCACTACGAGGAGCACAGGGCAGCAGAGCTGTTGTTGCTTCCAGAGCACACACAAATTCTGCTGAGCCTAAAGAACTGCCTTTGCAAGGCATGCCCCACTGGGCACTATGGCAAGAGTGAGGGAACTGAGGGGTCTGAGCAAATCCCCCTCCTCTCTCCAGCAGCTGCCTGCCTGGGCCCATGGTCAGCTTGAGGACAGTGTGTCTGGTGATCTGGGAAGAAACAAGAAGCAGCCCCAGCAAGACTTACCCCTTCTTCTTTCCCAGGAGCTGCATTTGAGCTGGGGCTCCCACCCTTGGTACACATATAATTTAGGGGAAGGGGAGAGGGTCACTGTACTGCTGCTCATGGGCCCCTAAAACATGACAGTCTGACGGTCTCTAACCTGAGAACATAGGGAGGCGAGCCAGGGGGCTTCCCTGTGGACATACCTTGAGGCAGCATTTTGGTTAGGGCTCTAAGTTTGGGTTGTATCATTATTTTTTTTTCCTCTCTTAGCTGTTTATGAAAGGGTATAGAAATGATCTAGAGAGCCAAGCTGTCATGTTGGTGCTACCTGTGATTGTATCTCTCCTCAACACATTGATCCCATTCTTCTTCTCCTGGCTTGGGCACCTGGAGAAGTTTCAGACTCCTGGACAGCACATATATGTCACTATTACCAGGTATTTCTTGCTGCCACATCTTGGTGCTTTTGGCCTGAAGCTGAGTTCTTTTCAATACAAAGCTGTGTCTGGGTGGTGTGGGGGCAATAGGGAGCTATGGAGGAGAATTAATCTTCTCCAAAGGCTTCTGTACCCTCTTGCATCATGACCTTTTGTCTTTCCTGAGCTTCTGGGATGTTATATCTCTGCATGAGGATGAGGAATGCTTTCCCTTTCAGCTGGGTGCACTATGACACCGGGCTTGTAGCATTCCTTGATCCCTGGGCTGTTGGCCCCTCCCCAGGAAAGGAAGGGAAGTAGTGAGAGGACTGAGGTCATCTTACTTAAAAACAGGTGTCTGGAATTTACACTGCCTAACCCCTGGTGTCCCTCAGCCCTGCCTCCCTCAAGGAACCCCCACACCCAGCCAGCAGCCTGGTAAGCATTTGTCATGCCAAGGTTGTCATGCCCAGCTCCCCTCCTGCCAATACAATAGAACAATGCCACACCCGAGCTCCCAGGAGACCTCCTGTTAGTCCTGGCACTCTGCAGTGCCAAGAGGAGGTAAAAAAGTGTAACCAGTGTTCATCCTGCCATCACTCCCTCCAGGTACGGACCAGCTGTTGGTGTAGTTACTGTTACTTCTTCTTTTTAGAAATACCATCCTGAAAATGTCAATTGTTGGAATACTGTGCTACTACTGGCTTAACATCGTGGCTACCTCAGAGTCACAGGTAAAGTTTCAAAACCACAGATCTCTGACTTGCAGTGCCAGGTTAGGAACCACTTGGATAAGAGACTTGATTCAGCAAAGAGAAGCACATGTGGTGTCTTGGGAAGCTGAGTTTCCTACCCTAAAAATTTTTATTAGCAACTTGAGAGAAATCAACTGTAGAAAAAAATGAATGGCCCAGCTCAAATCTCAGCTGGATGGCAGCATTGTTCACTGAGAAGTCAACTATGATTTACCAGGCTGCTAGAATATATTTCATCAAGATTTCAGATCTTTGATCAAATTTCAAATGCCCAAGCATTTGGGAACAATGTTTAAATAGCATAGTTTATAACTTCTAGTATGATTTTGTTTGTTTTTTTTTTTTTATTTCCTTCTGTTTCTTAAAGTGCTGGGAAACTTTGGTTGGCCAAGATATTTATCGTCTTGTTCTAGTTGACTTCATATTTTGTTTGCTTGGCTCTTTCTTTGGGGAGTTTTTACGAAGGTGAGTACTACTTTTCTAATCTACTTTTCATTCATTAATCAAAGATAGGATCTGTTTTCTCCATGTGAGACAAGTCCAGCAGAAGCATGGCTGTGGGACCACTGAATTTTCCTTGATTTTCCCTACCAGGCAGAGTCTCTGTGTACATGTCTTGTGTATATTGCTGTTCCTCCTTAGAAGGTCAGCGTGTCCTTTTTCCCTTTGGAGATGGAAACACATGCAGGGAGGGAGCCACATTCTACTCTCATGGATTTCCTGAGACTGAGGTGACAACCAGTTGTCTCAAGCACAAATCCATCTTCTCTGCATATGCATGGGTACACTGCTGCCTTTCCTTGCTGTACCCATTGTGATTTTTTCCCTCTTAGTTATGTCACTATAGTGTTCACAAGTTTAAAATCTGATTTTATCAGTCTTATTAAGCATATAATGAGTCTCTCAAAGGTAGAGGTCTCCAGCATGATAAATGAGAAAGTATTGTGGACTGGATGTAAGGAAAGAGTAATTTACTTCTGACATCTGTTGTGTGAACCTTCTTAGTGCCAAACATTGCTTATGGCTTAAGCAGTATTTAAGTGCTTGCCAGCTCTACAGAGCATTTAGATCCCTGGCCATACTTTTGTGTAGGAGATCCATTGTTTGCTCTCTGCTCATGATTGGAACAAGACTGGTTTGCAAGGTAGAGCTTTGTTAACTTTTTCTTAAATTTATACAAGACAATGTTGAGAAGCTCTTGAAGGCTTTTCCTCCACAGCTCTTGCCAGTGTACTTTAATCCTCCTGTTCTTGTTGTGTTCAGTAGGAAAACACCTCCCAGCAAAACGTCACAGAACTAAAACTGCAATGTCAGCTGTGATGAATGTTAGGCCTCCCGTAAAAGCACCTGACATAGACATACGAAAGGTTCAAAGTACAATTGCTTGTATTTAATATTTTGTGCTCAGAGTAACCTCCTGAAAGCCCAGCTCTATTGATGATGCAGTTGATAAGGTGATATCAAAATGTGATAGTTACCAAAATCTTTATTGTTCTTGCCACAACAAGGCAAAAAACTGAGTCTCCCCAGCTCATAAAAAATGAGGTGACAAAAAAGGATCATTGGTCCTCAGTAGGAATCCTCTTAGTACTTGCTTACCTCTGTTTCAGCTCCTTGTAAGCTCAGTTAGTTTGAAGTAGGATGTATTTGAGGGTACATTAAAAGTATCAGTGTACAAATTTAATTCTTTTTTATTGACACTGAAAATTCTCAGGACATGAAAAAGCTGTTACAGTTTTGTTCTGAGGTCCCTTGACATTTCAGCTGCTTAAGCACAAGGATATTTTTGCTTAAAGTAACAAGTAGTTACTATAGTACAGATATGTACTGATACAGTAAGAAATCCTTGTTGGTTTTCTGTTTCAGTTGTGTGAAATATATACTAGGTCTTACTTCAACCCTGATTTGTTTTACAGGATTTTTTTTTTGCCAAATTGATTCATTTTTGCTGTGCTGGCTAATGAACAAGCTGTGGCTGCTTTCTATTATGCTAATGAAGCCTCTAAATAATTTGTCACTGATACTTGTTTTCAGAAGGTTATTTACAGGGATTTCTACAGAGGACTTTGTCATTTAGCAAATGCTGTTGTGCTGTAGTTTTTTGTTTCCTCCCCCAGAATTATTGGAACTACAGTCTGCATGAACCTAGGGCTGCCAGAATTTGATATTGGACGAAATGTTTTAGATTTGATCTATGCACAGACTTTGACCTGGTAAGTGTTAAATTTATGGCCAAAACTTCATTTGCACATAGAACTATCATGGAAAAATTCTTATTCTGATGTTTGTGGGTGTTTCCCAGAAAGAACAGGATAAGTAACTGGGAGATGAGCTGTTCAGTGCTTTTGGTAAGGATTGTGACTTGCCAAGGTAATTATGTAGGCAGTAACAATAATTTCAGTCAGTAGTTTACCTAGTGGCCACCTGGTCTGGGAGAAACCTGAGAGGTTCCTGCAGGTATATCCTGGAGTTTTATTTACTTCCTCACTGGGATGATGTTCTTCTTTAAATGGGCTCAGTATTAAATGCTGGAAAAGATGCCTTCTTTCCAAGAATGAGTATGTTACTCCAGTTATAAGAAGGTTCTGCAGATCTGTACATAGATACGTGTGTTTGAAATTGCATAATTTCCAAGGTGGATTACTGCTAGAGGATCAAGGGTAACAAAATCACATTTCCAACTAATCCCACACTATCTGTATATGAAGTTATTGTGGTATTTTTCTGCTTTCGATGCACTGAGAACTGAATGGTGAATAGTGAAGATGTAACCTTTTTCTCCTATAAATCCTTCCTTGTAGGATTGGTATCCTGTTCTCACCTCTGTTGCCTGGTATCCAGATGATAGCATTTTTTATAGTATTTTTTGTGAAAAAGGTAACAAACTTTGTATGTATTCATCATAAATAACAAAGTGGTAAAATTAAAGGCTGGAGAACTAACAGTGGACAAATGCATATGTTAATACAGATATTCAGCTGGTGGCTGTGACTTTGGCCTCTCAGTTGCTCCCCTGCAACTCCCCCCTGTGAAGTCATCTAGGTGTAGGCAGGGTGATTCAGCTAAAGAGCATGGTGGAAATGTCTTCTTCTCAGAACTCTTTGTCTCAGTAGTATGACCAGATGATAAGTTGTTTGTTAGGCCATGAAGCAGTTTGTAGTGTTAAATGTAGAAGAACAAAACTGTAGGTAGAAAGATGGATTCAAATTTCCCTGAACTTTGAGTTTGCATATACTACAGAAGCAAACTCTACTCAGCAGACGTATGAAGAGCCCATCAGAACCTCATTTTGCTTCTTAACTATTTTAAGACTATATTATTGAAATTTTCTAAAACTACACTCTATCTATCAAATTCACATAAAAGTTGTTCTTGGAAACTTCTGATAGATTCAGTGGGATTGACTTAAACCAAGTTGAAGTGGCAGGTAGCAGCATTGCAAAGCACCTTCATCTCTTTAAAGGTCAGTCTGATGAGGAATTGCCAGCCCCCTCGCAAAGTCTGGAGAACTGCTCAGATGATGACATCCTTCATTTTCCTGCTGTTTTGTCCTTCCTTCCTTGGAGTCCTGTCTGTCATTGGAGTCACTGTCTGGAGGTATGGAAGATCACTGGCACACAGGCCTACTAAATCATGCTGTGTGACCTGATACCAGGCAGAAGAGTCTGCATTTCTCTATAAAAGAAGTTTATATTAACTGCTTGTGGAAGGTTTCAGGTGTTCATGAGATGTTCTGTATTCTGAAAACAAGACTTGCTCTGTGACCTTTTGAGAATGTGGTTCACTGAGTAACTTGTCCTGTGAGAAAGTGGGAGGAGAACCAAAGTTGCATTGAAGTTTTGGATTCCTATTTAAATGCATCAAATTTTACTTTTCCTCCTCTTAAAAAAGTTTCTGTGACCAAGTCCTAGTTCCGAACTTATAGAATAGGTGATTCTGGGTCTGCAGCAGAGAAACACCTGGGAAAACTCAGTTGAGGTCAGCTTCTGGATTATTCCTGAGCTTCAGAGGCTCTTTCTGCAGGCAGTGCTGACCCTGTAGTAATGCATCCAGGTTGTTACCAATATTTTAAAGCTGCTTTGGTTTTGTGTGTGTTACTCTGGTCACAGGAAGGAGGGCAGCATGGATACGCTTTTCTCTTGACAATAATCAGCAGCATGATTTTGGTGTTTAGTGAGACAGGTGACTGCACATGAAACCAAATGGGATGAAAGCTATCAGAGCTATAATTTCCAGATGGCAAGTGGGAATTTCAGGCTGTCTGGAGTGGTTCAGTTTCAAAGCAAACACTTTCCTATTTCAGTCTACTTGAAAATCTTAATTTTTATAATGGGCTCTCTTATTTTACCACCTTCTGTTGTTACTGAAGATCTGCAGTGACTCATGTCCCTGAAGGCAAGGTGAAAAGATTTCACCTTGTGGTGAAGAGTTAAAAAAATCCAGTTTTTCAATTTCCTGTAGCGTGTGCTGCAGTGATTGACATGTTATATTTATGCCAAGATTGTGCTTACAGGGCTTGGTACTGATCCATTGCAGCAAGCATCATGTCTCACTTCATGGTCTGGGGTGGGCATTTAATGGCTGGAGCGCGACACAAGTTAAAAATGAAATACAGATCATGGAGGTACCCTGGGAGTCCAGAGACAGTAGAGGGCTATAGAAGTCTGAGGAGCATCTTGATGTACACAATCACAGTATTAACTAATTCACTGGTTAACATATGAGTAAGTAGCTGTTTTTTCACCCTCTCAGGTTAAAGCCTTCAGAAGAATGTGGTCCTTTCAGAGGTTTGTCGTCTATGTATGCTGCAGTCGATGAGTGGATACAAATACTGCAAAGTTACACTGCCTCAAAATGGGTAGTGTGGATCTACCATAATTTAATTTCAAGTGAACTTTTCTTCTTCATCCTGTCTAGCGTTTTACTGTAAGTATCTGCTAATGAAAAGAACTAGAAAAAGGCCTTAAGTGGAAAAAACTGGCAATGACAGAGTCATTCTATATTATTTTGTTATCTGAAATGCATCTTGTATTGATGACTCACTTAAAGGTACCTCTCATCTTGAATACAAATCCATAAATTTTTGGGTCTTTTCCAAAAGAATGTTTTAAGCAATTTCATGCATTTACCATATTTTAGGAAAATCCATGTGTTTGCCATTCCTTGTGTAATTGTATACATCTATTTTCTGTGAGATGTGTGTATATATGTCTTTTAATGGGTTAAAATGAACAAGATACATTTCTATCTAGACACTGACTAGAATGAAGTTCTCATATGATGGACCTTTTGTTTGTTTTGTTTAGAGTTGTTATTTATCTTTACTGGCAAATAATACAAGGAAGAAAGACCATGACTGAGCTCTTACGTAAGCAAATTAATAATGTAAGTTTGGCTTTCATTTGTATCTTTTGTATAATTTGGCTTCTATGTTGATTGTCTCATCCAGCTTTGTGTGGCTGTAACCTGTTTTTCCTATAACTGTGTATAGTAGGAGGGCGGGAGCCCATCCCCATGGGAGTTGCAGGGAAATCTAGCTCACAAATAGAGTTGTAGCAAAATAATTTTGTCTTCAATATGTGCTGCTGCAGCTCCCTCTGTAGACAGATTATTTTAGAATAGAAGGAATTTTTTTGGTCGCTGCTTACTTACAGGCCTTGAGCCTCTCAAGGATAATTAATGCATTCTAGCTAATGATCAAATATGTCTTGACTACAGGCAGGAAAAGATAAGATATTTCTGCTTAAGAAGCTACTAACACTGCAAAGGGCAAAGCGAAGCTCGTCTGCACTGGGAGGAAGAGGCCAGCAGGTCAGTCTACTCAGTTTTTGCTGTTTAATTATTTGGTACAGGTCCATGGGGCTCCTCCAGCTGTGCAAACAGGCTGCTAGTTTGGGGAAAGGTTGTACTTAAAGCTTCATCTAAATGTTTGCAACCTAACTCCAAAAGGATGCTGTGAAAGTTCCCTATTTGTTCCAGGCTGGAATTCAATCTGGATGTAGAAAAGTCCTTACCCTCACCAGGCATAATTTATGGTTATGAAACTTCAAGAAAACATTCCTAATGTTCATGTGCAGTGATGGTCACCAAAGGGTTTGGACACACTTGAACCTTGCCCAGGCTAAGGAGAAGGCTGCCTTCCTCCCCAGAATGGGTTTCCTTAGGTGGTTATTTTCAACGGAGGTAAAACTGAGGCTTTGACCTAACCCCATTTAAAATCCCATACAACACTGATAACTAAACTTGAATTTATTTTTCAGTGCAGTCCTGCGTGTTGAGACATCAATCTAGTGTTAAAATGTGGTCATATAGGTGCTGTCTGGTGTTTTTATTTAGGTTGAGTAAAAGCTCCTTGACCTAAATACTGATAGAGAAAAGGTGTTGGCAGGTTCCTGTCCTTCTTCCCAAAAAACCAAATCCCCCTGTATGACTGGCTATCATTAAAATGATTACAGAAATGCAAACCCAAATACAGATAATAATTGATATTGAACTGTTGTTAACTATAATTATGTGTGTGATAATACAAATAAATATTGACTGTAAAGAGGTAAGCTGAATATGAAGGGACATTTTCTATGTGCTAGGAATTTTCAAACAACATGTGTCCGTGTTGAGTGTCATGAGAGGGAGTCCTGAGGGGGAGATTTGGTCACCTACCAAGTGTGGACTTTCTTGTAGTTGTTAAGGTCAGATTTCAGGAGGAGATGCCAGAATGATCTCATTGTGGATTTAGTAGAAAGGCCATCTCCCTGAGACAAGGGAGATGAGCAGTGCTGATACACAGTCACAGCTGAGAGCCAGATCAGACTGCTGATGCCAAATACTGTTTTTCAGAGAAGTGCCTCTTCATCCAGGCAACCTGCCCAGGAGGTGCCAGACTACCCAGAAAGGGCATTTGAGAGAAACCAAAACTCATCCTACAATGAGGTGAGATGGCCAAAAGAGGGAAATGTAGATTCCCCTACATAGAATCTGGGCTGTGGCATAGGTGATGGGTGTGTGTATAGCAAAGTCCTGTATGCGTGGAAATAACTTTAAAAATTAACTTGAACGGAGATAAAAATGTGATCAGAATAGCTATTGAACACTCATAATCACAAACCTGCTCAAGACTTGGAGAATATGGTTTTATTACAGATAACTGATATATTTTCAAATACAAGATAACACACATGGGAGGGAAATAATGACCTAAATCTGCTTGTGAATTTTGTTTTCAGCATCCCTTTTCTGTTGAGATCTCAAGCAGCAGTGACTTTCCATCAGGTGAGCAACTAAGATGAAGCACAGAATGCTCTTAAAAATTCAGCTCAGTAAAAATGTTTCATGTACAGACATAGTGTGTGACAGCTACATGTCAGGGACACAGCATTTTAGCATCTTGTGTAAAGAGAAAACAAAATGACTGGGCTTGTGGGGTGAATTTTTTCTACAGGTTGTGCTTTTTAGTAGTTTGTTCTGGTGTTGGTGGTGACTTCTAAAGATTGACCACCAGCTTCTGTGTACCAGAGAGTGAAATTCCTGGATAAATGAGCTGTTTTGTGTTATGGGAGCACCCAACCGATAGGCAAGAAGTTTAAATCCCTTTAGAAACAGACTCCACATCTTGGAGTGAATCTCAGAAAAGCTTACTAATGCTGTAGAGTCCCTAGATGCTCAGAATAAAACAAGGCGATGGGATCTTGCAGTCTGAACTTGCACGTAACTTCATTTGAAAAGCTTGACAGAACTGAGACCTGGGGACCCGGGGCGCCTGGCGGGGTGGCCGTGCCGGTAACGCGTTTGCCTTGTGCCGGGCAGGCGGGGAGCCCAGCCCGGCCCGCCGCAGCCCCGGCGCCGCCCGCGCCCTGGAGCTCGCCCTGCGCGCCCGGGCAGCGGCGCTGCGGGCCGGGAGCGGCGGCGGCGCGGGACCGCAGCCCGGGGCACGCACGGACAGCGCCCGCTGACGGCACGGGCTGCGGGGAGCAATCCTCTCTTCACCCGTGACTAAAGGAATCTCTCGAACAGCTTTTTTTACATCCAAATGGAAGAATAAAATAGAAGAACAGGTTGCAAAATGCGTTGGGACTTTGGTTTTTTACTGTGATAGGGAATATCCAGCTTGTTGGGGTTGTTTTGCAGCAGTGGTTTTTGGTGACAGCCTTCCCCCAGGACTGGCATCACTTCGATGCAGAAGGCTCCCTCCACAGCTGACCACGTGCTGTTGACTAAATAGAAGGAAAATTGTGCCTAACTGTAAATAAAAGTTTCATTTAAAAAAATATTTTTCTAATAGTTATATTGTTTTATCTGTTTTATCAGCTTTTATCTGATCTACTGGTCAAATAAACGGAAGTATATTGAAGTGCAGTTGTTTTTAATGACTGAGACATTGCAATGGCTGTGAAATAACTTGTGTGAACTGGGTTCATTTTTCTGAGCCATTTTTAGCTTGTTACAGTCACTTAAAATCAGCTTTGATGAAGCCATCAAAACGAAGAATGACTACTTATCAAATTCTCATTTCTGTAAAACTATTGCTTGTAAACTGAAAGTTCACGTGCCTTTTCCTCTAAAGGATTGACTGGAAGTAACACAACTAAGACTTATTTTTTTATCATAAATGACTGAGGTTTGCTGCAGCTTCTTTTTATTCAAGGCTACAACTTTGCCACCACCATGATAATTTTTTTGGTTTTGTTTAGCTCATTTTCTACTAGTGCCTGCTTTTTTCCTCTCTTGTTGCTCTGGGAAGAGGCATATCTTTTCATCTTGCTCATAACTTAGGCTAAAGACAACCCAGCTGCCACAGGCACAGAGAAAAAGACAGGCTTAACACACAGTGCAAGAGCAGAGGTTCAATTTTATTGTTTCCCTGCACATACAGCTGTGGAGCCTGGCTGTGGCACTGCCCGTGGACCTGGTGTTTGCACTGAGGATGGTGACTCAGCAGTGCCAGGAACTCCAGCAGCACCAACACCTGACCTTTGGATCGAGGGCCATTTGCCCTTTGGTGGCCACGGGAGCCCTCGAGGGGCTCAGCAGTAACAGCAGAGGCCTCAGTACCCAGGAAGGGGCAGGACAGGCTCTGGACACAAACCTACACATTCTATAGGATGTGCACCAGGAGGCTGAGATTGCTGCTTCTGCGGTGCAGGGGCGTGAGTGAACAAATGGCAGAGGTTTTTGTCATCCTGACAGAGAAAAGCATCTCCTCTGTGTTTATTTCTGCCTGGACGGAGCTCAGGATACAAACAAAAAATCCATCCCTCCCCAGCAGGTCATAGCATGGATCTGTGGTATTCCAGAAGCTTGGATTTATCCTAATTAGGACAATCTACACTAATTTTTGACATTTTATACAAATGCCCTGCCTAGCTGATAAAGAACACTTCCCGATGAATTCTCAAAGACTTGTTTATTGTAACTGCAGACTCTTTGGAGTTCAAGTTAAATCTGGATTACAGTTTCCATATCCCTCTGAGTGCCCTTCAATCATGCAACCAAAGGCAAATTAAAAAGACATTTCAGCTCCATTTATTCTACTGCTTACCAGCACTCAATATATAGCTTTATCTTTAAAATAAATACATTCATGTGCTGTGTTTTGTCTTCACTAGAAGAAACAATTTCTTATCCTCCCTTGGTTCTCTTAAAAGGTCTGGAAGATAAGAAGCTACTCAAGTTTTCTTTGTTAAGTCTCATAACCTTCACATCACATCACACATGGAAATTTGGCTTTTTCTTCCTCAACAGGATTCAGTACAGCCAAATTTCAACAGAGGGCAGGGAAATATACTCATCTTCTATTTTGGCACCATTGGACTGTTATTTCCAGTTTCTGTTTTAAGAACAGTAATGTAAATGATTTTAAGGTGCTATAAATCAACCTCAAATTAGTAAACACTTGTAAAACATGCTGTTAAAATTACTAGCATCAAGTTATGATTTGAAATTTTGACACCAAAATTGCCAACACCAAAATTTAGAACCAAAATTTAAACAAAGCTAAGGAATAGCCAGAGAATTATAAAGCCACCTGCAGAGACAAGGTGGTTGGCCCAACGGGGTTGTCAAATCTGATTCCTTCACATTACAGTGATTTCCTCAGACTCTGAGATGTGACCACAGGCAGAAGCCAAGTGCTGCTGTGCCCTTCCCAGAGCTCTCCTCAGCAGTCCATCAGCACTGTGGGTGCCCTGATGGCTGCAGGGCTGCCCCAGGAGGGCAGCGTGCTCGGGCTGCTCAGTAGTGAGGGTCGCAGTCCTCCAGCAGGCTGTCCGTCATGTAGCTGCAGTCAAGGACGCTTTCATAGTAGCTTTTCTCTGCAAACGTGTTCACTGTCCAGGCAACCACTCCAATTCCTCTGGAAGACCAGTGCCTCACGTAGTCCCTGCAAGGAACAGAGACACCTTGAGAGGAGCCTGGCACGACACAGAGTTAAGGCAGACAGTGCTGAGGCTACAGCTGAGTTTCGGTCTTGCATCAGCATCACATCAAGGAATAATAGTGTGCCACGTTCTGCAACATCACCTTTTTGTGTTTTCTTACTGTAAACGGGCAAAAGCAACAAATACACTTTCTCTTTGAGACTAAATGTAGGTTCTAACAGAAGGTAAAAATTCAGATAAAAAAGATAGAGGCTTAAAATCATAAAACAGCACAGAGTAAAGAAATTATCAACACTAAACGGAACATTTTGATAAGCACATACTGTGTTAACTCCACGCTATACACTAACAGAAGAGAGTATCTCCTGATATATGAGCAAACTTCCAGCACTTACTGAGAAACAAAATTTTTCTGTATGAGGAAAGCTGAAACCCCACACAGTCGCCACAAGAAGCTGTGTAGGCTCCAGTCCAGAATGACATCCATCACCATGTACAGGAAATGCTTCCAGAAGGAATTGAATCGGGGTGTCCCATCGCCCAAGTGACTCAGCTGCCAGGGCCTGTGTGTCAGTGCTGTCACAACATTCCTGTCAGCTTGTCTCATCTGGAGGACCAAGGAGAAAAGACTGTAATTCATCCAAAAACCCAGCAGCATTAAATACAATTTGAGGGATTAGATACAAACTCCTAGCTTGCATTTACAACTCTACCAGAATCCTTCTGCCCTCAACTCTACCAGAATCTTTCTGCCCTTCCCCTCCAGATTATTTTGTAACTTTTTTAGAAAGATGTTAGTATTTTATAGGGTTTCTTCCTCCAAATCATACTGAATAAGCATCAGCTCTTATGTTAAAGAAATTACATAGCAGTCATGCAATGTATATAATGGGGAAAAAAAAACTTGGCAGTAAGAAGGAGGATAGAGTTTTAGGAGTAATGTAAAATATAAAAGGTTTATTTAGCCGGTACTTTGCACACAGATACCTGGCCAGACACCAACTAGAAGACCAAAGCACGTTTCTCTGCACTGCTTTCAAAAGGGAAGGAATTGCTGTAGATTCCTATTTGCATCTAATGAGTAAAGTAATAAGATTATGCATTATGCTTCATTTGTTTATAAAAGCCTTAGGCATTTGAACAGCCAAAAAGTAATCTGGAACTGGGAGGTTAATACCATAGTGAAATTCCCAGACAGGACTAAAAAAATTAAAAATAAACTTTTAGGAAACATCACCTTATAAACAACGTCTGGCATGAAAGAACAGACAATGCTGCTGTTATACAACTGTGGAAATTCCTGGTAGAGTTGTTTCAGGGCATCAACTGCCTGCAATTAGAGACACACAGAGATGTTATACACACACTCATATTTAATTTACACTGCAAAATCATTTTACAACAATCTTAAAAACACTTCCCTGCTGTGTTGCCAGATTGAAGTAGAAAGGGAGAAGAAGAAAAACAGGATCTTGTTTATAGCATTAACACAGAAATGGTATTTTGGTTTTTAGCAAAAGAATTTCTGTTCATTACTCTATTTACAACGAGTAGGATTCTCAGTGTTTGAAATACCCTTAAATATGTCATGGATATACTTTTTTAGTACTATCTAAGCTTAAGTTGAAGAGGAAAATTATTTATTCCTATATTTTGCTAGGCTAAAGAAAGAAATTAATTTGTATAAAATGTTAGTGATGGATCATTTGCATCTGCCTTCACTAATGAAAATTATAGATCCCTTGTTGGAGGCTGAAGATGAGGTTTTGACTCCCTTCAGCACAGCAGGGAATTCCCTTTGCTCTGTTTCACAGCAGTGCTGTGAGCTGAGTGTAACACTTGCACAAGACTTGGGCAATTTTAAGCTGCAGCTTCCCAGGACAACTCTGGGTGACACAAGCAGCAGACCTGGGCTTGCTCATGTTAAAGAAGGGACTTGGTCTGAGACCAACACAACAGCAGGTCAGAAACCCAAAGAAGGGGTGAGGGGAGGTGTCATGCTGCAGTGAGCAGTACCTGGTTTGCATGGCCTTTGACATCGAAGTAGATTGTGAGATTGTGATGCATAGACTCCACAACAGCTTCTCTCAGAGTTGGTACCTTTTCATCTTGGAACTGGCTCCTGTAGAAACAGAGAACTCCTTGGAATGCAGCCAACACACACCTGCACATACATGGGCCTGCATATTGCCACCCACACAGGGCTGATTCCAGCACAGTTTGCTGCTGCACTGGAACTGCAGCTGGGATCCAGTGCTCACAGGCTCCGTGTCTGCCACAAAACACCAGCCCCAGTTCTTCACCTCCTTCCCCAAATCCCACAAATAAGCTTTCAGTCCCAACTGCTGCCTTCCTCCTGCTCCCACTGCACTTCCCAGCCCTAGTCAGAAATGCAGATCCTGGCAGAACAGGCAAGACAAGCTGAGGATTTAGCAGAAGCAGCTTCACCCATTGTTACACTGTGACACGAAATAACTTTCAGAAGCAGGCTAGGTGTAAAAGGAAAGAAAATGAACTTTAAAAAGCAAACTTTATTTTCTAACTCCCCTATATATACAACATATATATATATATATAACAAAAATTACAGCAGATTAGAGGGTGAAACTACCACATCTCTAATCACACTAGTCAAACTAACAGTTCATCAATTCTCTCTACCTACAAAGAAAAATACAAAACAATAATTATTTACATAAACAGTGTGTGAGAAAAATCAGTTAAAACATGTAAATATCAGAAAGTGTAAGAACTTTTAAAAGGACTTTAAAACTCTCAAAAAAACCAAAGTAACAACCCATCAATAAATCATTCCTGATGGGGTGACAGTTCATTCACTCCTGACAGTGAACAGCAGCTGCTCAGCAGTCACTGCCTGTGGAAATTCCCCCTGCATGGCCCAGGTGATCACCCTTCCAGTGAGACAGGGAAGATACTCCTTGTGCCACACGCTCACAGGAGGCACCCCTGCAGCTCTGG